ACTGTATTCCGTTACAGTTACCGTTTAAAAAGGTGGTATTTAGAATACAGTTACTTTGTTGAAATAAATGGATTACACGGCGGTACATGTATTCCGTTACTCCCCAACACTGCTCATAGTTAATATGAACATCAGCTTTATCTGCAGGATTTCATGCTTCACACTGTCACCACATGATGGATTAGAAGCATATAACTATATAACACAAAAATATGACTTAGACGTTAACATAGATGCATAACCCTGTTACGATCTCTAAAAAGGCCTTTTTTGTTCTCCAGGCTGAGGTCTTCCCTTATCCAGAAATTGGAAATGATGAGGTGGAGGAGATAAAGCAGCTTGTTGCACCGGTAGAGAAGTTCTTCAGTGATGATGGTAAGGTGGGAACTGAGTACATGCATGTGATTAATGACTTTCAGATATGATTTATCAGAGGAATTACATGACTGACACTGGAATTGCTGGATTTTGTTTGTTTTTGTTTTGGGGTTTCTTTGCCAGTTGACTCAGCAAAAATTGACAGAGAGGCCACAATTCCCCTGGAGACTCTGCAGGGGTTGAAGGATCTCGGGCTGTTTGGAATCATGATTCCTGAAGAATACGGTGAGCTGATTTTAACAAAGCCCTTCTAAAAGCCAGTCTCGACTCTCGGGATCCATCTTAAAATATGAGTGAAAATTGATTTCAAAGCATTTTTGAGATGAACTTTAACTCCACCCGACTTTGCCCCAAAGTGAAGTTAGAAGTTAAGAGCAATGTTCTGGACGTTATGCTAATACTTTGATCTGTGTTGTTACTTATTTTTACATTCTCTTATTTAGGGTATTTTTTTAAGGACGACACCTCCCTCATATAATTTGTGTGACTATGTAGCTTTTATACACAACTCTTCTAAGGCTACTAGTTAGTTTCAACATTGCACTATACATAACAGATGGATGCAGCTCCTTCTTTCTGAAAAGCAAAGCCGGTGAAGCAGTGCCTAAAAACTTGCACTCTTTTCCTTGGCCGGCAGAGGGCAACTTCCTCCTGTGGTTGCAGAAAAGAAGTCTGATTGTGTGGACACCCCTAGTGGCATTTATTTCAACTCACTTTTATTTATTTATATATTTATACAGCACCAAATCACAAGAACAGTCACCTCAAGGT